CGTACTTTGTCTTCCTTATGATTCTCACTTCCTCTTTGTTCTCTTCGAAACCCAATTGAGGTAACTCACTCCTCGAAACCCCAAACCCCTTTCTTTCTTCCAAAATTATCTCCCTCAGTACATTGTTGGGATCAGCTAAATATTTCTAGAAAAAAAAACGATCTTTTCGGAACAGAACTGTTCATTGATTTTATGGGTTGAATGCTTGATTTTTGTCTTCTACTTTATTCAGGGTAGATAGCAAAGAATTTAGCTTCCTGTAAACTTTCAGGCTTTGAAACCACCGAAACAGGTTATTTTCCTCGTTATCTTTCTTCTTTATTTACCACGAAGCTGCTTCTTTTTATGCAATTAGTAATTACTAGCGTTTTTTTTTGTAATTTCTGAAAACATACCATGTAAAATGGTTTAGACGCTGGGTTAGGCTAGAATTATGCCACTAAAGAAATGGAACCAATGTATGGATTTGTCATCTGTGGTTTTCCTTTGAATGCTGAGTTGTTGATGATTGACGAACTTCTTTCTTCATCTGATCATCATCAGTCCATTTTAAAATGCATGTTACAGTTTTGTATGCCTTTCTTCTTTGGAGTTTCAATAGAAGCTATAAATTTGCCTAGAGAATTTGGGGATTATGATTAAATGGTGATATAGTATGGTAAGAGTTTTGGGTATTGAAATATGTTTCGCACAAGAATGTTCACTTCTTTATGAGTTCTTCCGTATATTCTGAGGGTTCTTGGAGGGTCAGATACCAGTACTTAAGCATGCAAGAAAAATGAACAGTTGAAGCAACATAGGTGTCAATAACAAAATAAAACTGAGTAAAAGCCAAAGATTAACATTGTGAACTGACCTCTAACTGTTGTTACGTTTACAAAATAGCATATTTGGCTACATGCTGGATGTTTCTTTTTGCCATACTCTTGTGTTTGTGTGCTTTTGTAATCTGATATCATGAATTACATCCACGGCATCCTATTTTCTTCCTTCCTGCATCTGAATACCCCAACAAAGCATTTCGAAGATACGGATTCATGTAGTTTGAATGTAAGTTCTTGTACTCCAATGGTAATAATTGGTTATTGGGTAGGACCAGATATTGTTGATGGTGGGGGATTTGTAGAAGCTTGTATCTATCAAAGTAGTTGATTCTTTTCGAAAATTGCATCAATCATTTTGCATGCTCCCCCTGGTATAGTTGGAACTTGGAATATTAAGAGTGAAAAATATAAGTTATATCTAAATCGGGTCATTTTCAAATTTTTCTCCAAGGAAACCCTATTTTGTAAAGAGAAATTTATTTTCCCTTGGAGGGCATTGTTAGTGAATTCATTTTGTGGAATACTTGACACACGTTGTTTTTCAACAGCCTCTGTGTGTTGGTAGTCATTAGCATATTGAATGAAAAGAAAATTTTATAAGGTTACGGGTATCCGGGCTCTTTTTTTCCTAAAATACTTGTGTCTGGTTCATATTTGGATATGAATATGAGATATAACTCTTCAAAATTCAGTATACTTATGTTGGATACATATATGTACCCACACTTGCCTTCAAGCTTGGGTAACATTGGTTGAAGGGGTTCTTTATAAACCCACAAAGCAATTTAAATGCTGAAAGTAGTTGGCTTTCAAGTAAAAAATTGGTCATCAAATACCAACAGTTCTTGTTTTTGAGCCAAGTAAAATGGAACTTTGGTAGCTAGGCCCAGTTCATATGTTTATGAGATGTTGCCCAGGATTTTTCCTGGTCCCCAATAATAAACAGGTATCCTACATGAGATTGTTTGTTACATCATTTATCAACAAATTTTAAAATTTTAAAATAGCTAAACATAAATAACTTTATGTTTTGAATTTCTTAATTTAATATTTTGTAACAATTTAATTTGAAGGGTCTTTAAGTTTTAATTTTGCAAGCTGGTAGTGTATATCATTTATAAATTGATAGTTTATAAAAATATAAATCTAAATAGATAGGAAATATAACTAAATTATCACCAATACTGGGTAAGTCATAATAATTTATCCTAATATTTATATGACATCAAATTTAATAGGAGAAAAAAAAACTGCAATATATTCTAATATCAGGCAACAATATTCCGGGGGGGAGACAGAAGGAAAGAAACACTCATTGTTGAACAAAATTAATGAAATATAATGTGATAAATTTCTTATATACAGTTACGAAAGGGTGATGGTTATTCCGTATGCTTCTTATATTTTGAGCTTTAGCTGGTTCAGCTAATTCTTTCAAAGATGATTGAATATCGGCTTCTGTCAGACCTTTATCTCCATAACATTTAACTTTTTGAACGATCAAATTTTAAGGAACTACCCTAGAATTAATTAATTAAACTAGCAAGGTAAAGATTTGTTTGTCCTTGGGTTTTGAATGGAATGTACACAATTTTCTGTTGTTTCAAATGCTTTAGTAGATATTTGGGGGATATGAAAGTTATATTGATAAAATTTGAAGTATTGTTACAAGGCATGCTTAGAGAAAATCAATATCTATGCATGAATATTCTTAAACCATTCTTATGTCAGTACATGCATCAACTTTGTGTTGGACCATCAGCATTTCTCATCGATCATATATTATATCGAACTTTTAATAAGTTCAATGTATCTCTTGTTACGCATCTTAAGGCACATTGCAATTTGCAACAATGTTGCACTTGCCTACTTTGAGTTGCTGAAGCTCACATGGATTATTCATGATCCTCTTGCTTTCTGTCCTGGAAAATGGGCACATCGATGCAATCACGACGACAGATTGCCTTAATAATTTATTGTCATTCACCATTGCCAAAGTTCCAGATCATTGCTCACTGACAAGGGATGCAGGCTCATCAGGAATTCAGATCATGGAGCTCAATACCGCAATTCCATGGTCGGAGCCAGCGGCAACAACATTTATCCTTGAATCATTATATCAAGAAAACGTCACGTAATACCACATTGATTCGGTTGGTCCCTGAGTTTTGAGGCTTTCAAAACCATCCTGTTAAGAATACTGCTGCAGATGAGTACATTGGTATAGTTAGACTCAAAGTTTTGAGGTTTTCAAAATCACTATGTAAAGAAAGCCCATCACACAAAGGTTTGAGGATTAATCAGCTTTTGTCTCCTGTACTAACCTCATTTATGTATTATTCTTAACCCTTTGAAGGGGAAACATTTTGAGTTGGGAGCTCTCTTTTCACTCCTTTTGTATGAAGTGCAAGCTCATTGTTCAATTGGATGGAAAAAGAGGGCAACATACCATAGTTGACAAGTGGTCCCAACAGCTTAGAAAAGCCCTAGGATTGATGCCCTAAGGGATTGACAGATATTCTAGGTTTATTAATTAGGGTTCAAGCAATCATTTTTTTGTTTGATGGGAAGACAGCCTGAACCATTTGTATATATATTAAAAAAAAGAAAAAAGAAAGCATGCTTGGAGATTTAAATTGCATTTTCACGATTACTCATGTAATATGAAACAACAGTTCCCGTGGTCCCCCTTTCTAGGGTTTAGGGAACACTTGGTAAAGTTTAGCTTGTTTTTGACTATTTCTTTGTGCTGGAAATTTATGTGGAACATGGTAACAGTGCTTGCTAACACAGAGATCCAGAAAGGGCATTTATAGTTTCGAGTCCGGATTTACTGAAAATTTCAACTTTTAGATGAGAAAGGAAATTGGAAAATGTGCTAGGGCTTGTGTTCACTAAGAATAGTGAGAAATATGGTGTAAATAATGAACCACAAGGAGAATTTGTAAGCTACAGTAGAGGTTGATCCGATCTTTCAATTTTTACTCGTTTGATATCTTCCGATTTACAAACGAGGTCGTAGTTTGAGCATAACGGAACAAACTAGATGCAGATAGGATAGGATTTGAAATGGAACGGACTAGCTGCGGATAGGATCCGAATTTAAGGGTGCCTACTAGGTGAAGCCTTCCTGAACCCCTTGTTTATTTATATTACCCGCTTTTGGAAGGGGTGAGGACTAGAGAAAAGGATTGAAATTTTAGGCCCCAATTTTACTAAAGAACTGATATGAATCATTATGTAGTTTGAATTTGATTGTTGACCTTTTTGGTGAAGATTAATGGTGCTTGATGATCTATTCCACACCTAAAGAGCCTTGGATAGGACAGCCGAATACTGCTATAAATGGTTTCATAAACAGTAGTATCAACCGTCATCTCTCTCTCAAACGGTGCTTTCACAGCAAACCCTAAGTGCTAAATGCAAAACTGCAGAACTGATTTATAATCAGAACTCAATGGTAATTTACACAATACTAAAGGCATCTTCTGAACTAATCATTTGATGCACCGGTTAGAAGAACGAATAGGATAAACATCTTTCTTGTTGAAGTTACAACTGCAAGAAAACAGTTAGTCTGACAAATTCTCAACTGTCAACTTGACAGAACATAAAGATCATATTATCAATATATCTATCTATATGTGGGTGTGGGTATATGCATAACTTTGTTTACATTGTTAACTTCTGAGCTCATGAATGGCTTTCTTCAAACTGTTTCTTCAGTGTCTAAAAAGGGAAAGAAAGATTCCAATTACCAATTCAAAGAAATCCTCAGCTTTCTATATTTATGTATTCAGTCTTTCTGTAAGCATCAGCTACCTGAAACTTGAACTGCATCAAACTTAAGTACAGATAAAATGGAACAAGCAAAATACTAATCATACATATCATTCATTTCACAATTAACTTCACAGAAGTTTCCCTTTCCCTTTGCAGCAAAACCCCATGAATTAGAGAGAGATAAAGAGGAGGAAAGAGTACGAAAAGGAACAAAAAAAAATGTAACCCTGAATCAAAGAAATTAAGCTACAATTTAACCCGAGTTTAAGCTAAGAGAAGATCGAATCTATTGATTACAACCCGTTTGTCCTTGATCCTGCTCATATCTCTCCAATTTACTACATATATATATATATATATGTTCTTGAAGCCTTTGTCTCCATTCTTGACACACTAAGTTCTAGCACTTGGAGTTGGAGCTTGAGTTTGTTGATGAGGTTGATGGTCACTTTTTTCTTCCGATGAATGTTCTTCTTCTTCATCTTTGTCTCGAGAGGTTCTGCTGCAGGAAGCTTTGTTTAGGGTAGCTTTGTCTCGTTCAAGCTCCCGATATTTATGCAAGTACCTGACAATAGCATCAGCGTAGTCGTCAAACCCTAGAGCACCCAGCGCCCAACAGATGTCATCTCCATTGACGGTCTTTCGATTCTCTTTGCGACACTTGTCAGACGCCTCGCCAGTTACAAAGCTTATAAACTCCGTTGCACACTCTTGCATTGTTTGTTTGGCCTCTTTTGAGACCTTTGCCCTTGCTGGCAGTATTTGTTTCATTATCCTACCCACGTTCGCTATTTGCAACAATCGCTCTTCTTCATCTACCATCTTTTGCTCCCAACTCAACTCAAATCAGATGATTATCAACTTCGATGCTCTCAACCTTAGACACGTAGCTCTTTCTGGTCAATAAATAAATGAGGATCCTATATGTGTGTATGTATGCATGTGTATACATGTATTATGATGCTGCAACATGATCATATCATACATTCGAGTTTTACCATAAGCATGCTTGTGATATTCAGTTGATTATTATGGAGATTTAATCTAATAATTTTAAAACTAATATCTTAATAATATAAATAATTAGTAAAGTAGCTTGGGGTTTTCTCTATACTCTCTACACATATATATTTTAAAATATGCTTCCAAAAACAAACTCTATGGATATCTCAAAATCTGTTGAGGGATTACAAAGCTTTAAACTCCGTTGCACACTCTGCATTGTTTGTGTTGGCCTCTTTGAGACCTTTGCCCTTGCTGGCGTATTTTTCATTATCCTACCCACGTTCGCTATTTGCAACAATCGCTCTTCTTCATCTACCATCTTTTGCTCCCAAACTCAACTCAAATCAGATGTATTCAACTTCGATGCTCTCAACCTTAGACACGTAGCTCTTTCTGGTCAATATATAAATGAGGATCTATATGTATGTATGCATGTGTATACAGTATTATGATGCTGCAACATGATCATATCATACATTCGAGTTTACCATAAGCATGCTTGTGATATTCAGTTGATTATTATGGAGATTAATCTAATAATTTAAAACTAATATCTTAATAATATAAAGGTAATTAGTAAGTAGCTTGGGGTTTTCTCTATCTCTACACATATATTTTAAAATATGCTTCCAAAAACAAACTCTATGGATATCTCAAAATCTGTTGAGGGAATGAAATTAATGGCAGTCTCTCTTACTTTTTCCATTTACTTTAACTATTTTTATATCAAATTGATGTTCAAAATTTTTATATATTTATTGAGATTTACTTTAACTATCCTTAATTATCTATGTTTTAGAGGCTTTTTATCTAAATGTCAATAAATATATAAACAAGATTGAATGGCGTTAGACTTTGTCTAGTATATGATTTATTTTACGTTGATCTTACTTTAATTATTTTATCACCTACAAATTTATAATAATTACCAACTCATCATCACAATAATTTCAATGGAAGAATAACGTGCTTGCAAATCCTTAACCAGTTTAACTTAAATAGTTTTTGACAAGTTACTGATGCTGTTTAAACATGGGATACTGTCCCAAACTCCCAATATCTTACCATTAGATGGTTTGATCAGACTTCTTCTCAAGAACCCTTCACACTTTCAACTTAATTAGCATATTAATTAGCTAAATTGAACATAACTTTGGAATATATAAAACAATATCAAATGAATAACTTTTTTTTCAACTTTACTAGCTAATGTTCAGCATTATCCTTAATCCAAATTAATCAATCTAGATTATGCAGTACCTAATACAGAATTGCAAAATTTCTAAGCTATTTGATATATACACTGACCAATCAAAGTTCAAGCAAAATTCATCAAGAAGGCTTTGCTTTACATTAGATCTTGCTATATCTACAGATCATTTGCAGGTTCTCCAACAAAATAGAATTAAAAATAAAGAACCCCAAACACTAAAAAGACTTAACTATGGTCCCCCCACCGTCTCCCCTCCACTATCACCTTAAATGGTAAAGAATTATGTACTATATATTCAACACAAGTGGAGGATATCTTCACATGTTTGAATGTTTTAGCGTTTATTATAACCTAAGAACATATAGCAGTATACCTAAAAAAGAATTGATTCATAAATTTAATAATTAGTGTTTGATTACCTCACAAATTATGGGTTAAATTCAGGTTTTGTCACTCTATTTGTCTGTCAAAGAATTCCTTTTTTTCTCATGAATTCAGTCCTGTTAGGTTTTAGGTCAACTTTAGATGTTAACCCTTCATGTAGAAGTTGACATATGAGGCCATATATACCCTATATTCAGTACCTTTTAGGCAGATATTTACATTTAAAAAGACTTGTTATTGCAGTATGGGAATTAATTCTTGTGGGGCACTTCTTCATATATCAACAAAATGCATTAAACTTATAGTTGGCTCCACTAACAATTCCCACTAAGCTTGAAAAAGTTCTCTGCAACCTTAATATATATATATATATGTATATATGCACACTGTATAGTTCGGATTTTTGCAGAAGGTATTATGGTTAATAGCTTTCTATATAATTAATATCACTTATACATATTAATTGTTGATGAATAACCAATCTTAAAAGCTAATCACAGTTTAATAAATTAATTGAGATAAAAGGTATCTGCTTATCAAGCCTAGTTGCCCGTTACAGCAAAAGATGCTTAGAATAGTATAAATGTAACAGCTGTCCAAACCTTTTACTCAGTCACATACATCAAGGGTTTACCATATTATTATAAGATAGCTAGGGTTCCATCCATAAAGGAAAAAGTATAATCCCTAGACTGTTGGAAATTTTTTAGGCCTCTAATTACAGAAAATAATATAATGCAAAGTATTTGTTTTCATCTTTTTAATTAGGCCGTAAGCTAACTTTGGTAAGATTTCTTTTCAGTACTCGTATCTGCAATTCACTTACTAATCTGGAATCTGGTTTGATTTAGTTTAATATACAAAAAGAAAGTGCATAATTAACTTCGTAGAGTTAGGGTTTATAACCTTGGCCTAATTGGATATAACTCAGAATTTGATGCCTTTCTTGTTGTTGAATATATATTAGTACTTAATTTATTATGATCTTATTAATCACTGCTGCTCATTGGCGAGCTTGGCTGCTGGTTTTTGTGCAGAAAATTTTGAGGAAATTCATGCCACTTTGGTTAACTTGTTTTCTTGAAAAATCCATGAAACCTTAATTATTAGTAATCAAGTTATAAATCTAAAATCTTAATCCTAATAAAGAGAGATAGAGGAAGATGAGACTTTAGGGAAGAAAGGTGAGTGCTACTAGTGAGTTTAGAACCTACGACCTAAGGTATACGAGGAACACAACAAATAAACAATTTGGTTATTTGTCGACCAATTTATCCATAAGTACCATTTTTAGTTATTTGTCAATCTACTGACGTCACATATGACATCATAGATGCAAATTATATAATGGCAAAATTTTCGAGATAATGTTCTCGAAAATTTTATTTAACGATATAACGTACTCCCAAGATTAATTGCTCAAATAGGGTGAATTGCACAGTGTTGGCCGTAGGTCGCCATGCCTTCCGGGCGACCTACAGCGTGGCAGCTTCCCAGCATAGGTCGCCATGCACTCCTGGCGACCTTGTAGGTCGCCATGCACTCCTGGGGACCTTGTAGGTCGCCATGCACTCCTCCTGCTCCTCGCGTAATTCCTCTTGCCCTCGGATGCCCTCGCATAGCTCGCTCGAATGGCATCGGTTGGATGCCCTCGGTCGGATGCCTTCGGATGCCCAACGTGTTGGAACGTGCATGACACATGCAATCTCTCTCATAGCTCGCCGGGAAGACATGGCGACCTAGTAGGTCGCCCGGATGGCATGGCGACCTACGACCAACACTGTAGATTTCACCCTATTTGAGCAATTAATCTGAGGAGTGCATTATCTCGAGAGTTTAGCCATTATATAATAATACATTATTTTTATTGGAAATGTGATAAATAATCTCTCTTTGGACTCTTCCCCTCTTAAGAGAAGGGAATTCGAGTCATAACTATTATTTGTAGTCACTGATATTATTTAACGATTTTTCGTTTAAATCAAATAAGGTAAATTATCATTGTTCAAATCTTCATGTCCACGTGTCACAATTTTTCACATAAATTAAAAGAAGTAAACCACTATCGAACCTCGCCTCCTCTAGTTTTGCATCAACAATTCAATCTCCTCTTTGCTTACAAGGTCATAGCAGATACTTAATATGGCAAATTAGCTAAGATTTGCAATGCTGTTTAACAGTTGAAGAGTTACACAGAATTTATTGGAATCATGATATCACTAACAGTGTCTTAACACACTCATGAATTATAATACTTGAATTGTGAAGTTACACACTAGGCTTTCTCTAATTCAAAAATGTGGTGGATATATATAGAATTAGCCCATTTCATGTAATCCATCAACTCGTCCGAGTCACGGGCCTTTAAGGCAACAATGAGAGGCTCCATTTTATTTTATTTTATTTGCAAGCTCCCCTAATTGAAAACTTTGGTCAAATTATGATGCTAATCTTTGTATTTGAATGTTTTTTTACAATTTAATCCTTATACAATTATATTGAATTTAGAGATAAATTATTATGAACTAGGTAAACAGACTTGATAGTAAGCACATTTTAATTAGCAACACTAGTCGTGTGTCAATGAATATACTATGTTTTTTTAAATAAAAAACATATTTTAACTTTTTAAATATAAAGAATAATCTTCAAACTTTATTAAATTATAGGGACTGTCTCAGATTTGACCTTTGACTTTTGTTTTTCGGTTTTATTAACAGATTAACCCTCGAATTATACATTGATTTCCACTTAGACACTTAATTGTTCTTTTGTAAAAAGTAGTACTTAAACTCTTATTTTTTCAATTTATCTAAAAGAAAATATAACGATATTAAAAGTTGTTAACAATATTGATAAAAATGATACGTGAAAATGGTGTACGACAATATCGTTTGTTTACGTTAGTATTAGTTGATATTATCAGCATTTTTTCTGTACGCACTTGTTCTTTGTGAGCGGTAAACTAGAAAACAAAATATACAGTATGAGGGCCACAGTATGTGTTATTTTTTCTAAATCAAATTATTATTTTTTTATTTTCTTTAATCGACAACGACGTTAATTTTGATATTAGTTGTCAATCGTCGGTTGTCAATTGTCGGTTGTCTTTTTTCTTTATTTTTTTAATTTTTAATAAGAATAATTATGTCTTTGTGATACGTTTATCTTTTACATTTACGACATGTTTTTCTATGCTTTTGTGGCACGTTTTTCTCTT